CATCAATCTCGTGACAACCCGCGCCACTTGACCTGGAATACGCGTCGGATCATCGGCACCACAGCAAGGAACTGTCGGCTTGGATTCCTCCTTGGCTGCTTGGTTTAACAGAGTGATCTTAATGAAATGGATGATGGGAGGAAGCAACCCTAACTCACTTAAAAACAAAGTTACGGTGGCCAGCCTCTCTCTCTCAGAGCAAACCAGCGCTAGGGCAGGAGTAGGGGCTGACACGAAGCTGCCGCTGGTTTTGTCACCAACCTGCCCGGCTGACCCTCCTCTGGCACGTCCTGCCACTGCTGTTTGTCCACTGCACACACAAACAAGCAGTTCTTTCTATGCTACACCACTGGGTACTACACTGATTCTTGCTCTTCTTCTGATTTCAGACCCATCTGGAAAACCTGGCTATTCGTTGTTTAATTATCCAACAGGGGGTCCCCTGAAGCATTCCACTAGGAATTCCATTTGGATCGGGACGGAGGCAGTTGTTTAGCATGGGTTTTACGATTTGGTTGCATAGCGTTCTCCACTGCTTTGTACATAGTTTTATGATTTTGAATGTGTTTAAATAAAAACAAAACAAATCTTAACAGAGTGCTTAAATAATGCAACCACAAACCGAAGCCACACAGAAAAAGCAATGTTCTGACATCAGAAAACCAATAAAACTAATTGGACTTAGAATATAGGCCAATAATTTCTTGTGTTTTGAGTATTTCTGAGATTCCAGCTTAAACTGTTTTTCCTTCTCCCAAACTATAAGAAGAAGGAAGAGTTCTGAGTGCAGAAACTTCTAACTATGCTGGGTAATATCTCTTCAGCGTTCTCCTACCAGGTACTCCTGCGAAACAAGAGCATTCCTTTGGCTCTAGAGCAACCCAAAACTATTGGGAAATTTATCCACGAGTCTAATCCTGATAACTGGTATGTATGCATTGCTAGGCCTTTCCAAAACGCAGTTTTTTAAAAAGACCTTGCTGGAAAGCTATAGCTGCAGCATAAAGCTACAGATAGAGATTTCAATTTTAGACCGAGATCGTCTGTAATATGTCAAGACATTTCCACATTAGCTGCTGTTATGAAAACCTATTAACAATGACTTTCATTTGGAAACGTGTTTCTTTTTTGGATTTTTAAAAAAATGTTTAATTCTACAATGAAGATAGTTACTGGGATTAATGATTCCATGAGGAAAATATGTAATGATTCCCAAGCCATGAAGCTTTCCCTCTCCAAAATAACTATTTATGTTTAATTTTATCCAATGAACTTCTATAGTGTCAGTCCTTTCGCATCAGATTGATTTCATCACAGTAACCTAAACTGGTTCACTATACATAAAGAAAACAGAGTACTCTGCATTAGTAGCATTTCTAAGTGTGAAATGTTTATGAATGGAGGGAGAAAAACAAAAGATTTTTTTTAATCAGGTAATCAAGCAAGCAGGGCTGAGAATAGCTCAAGTTTTAAGCTACATTTTTCTTTCAGAAATTACTTACTTGGGCTTACAAGCCAGACGGGCAGGTTTTCCCAGTAGCATTCTCAAACTAGGGTGAGGAATAGTAATTCTGGACCCCAGCCAATTCCATGCCAATGTAAATCTGTTTTGTTCAGGAAAGCGAGCCAAATTGCCTTTATACAACATCTCGCTGTTTTGGGAGACCTGTGATACTCTCAGCCCCCATTCTTGGTGTCAAGAAAATAAAAGTGCTCTTTCAAATTCTGAACTGCAGGCGCAGCCAGAGCGACACAGGCCAAGCACTTGCTATTAAATATGAAGTGAACACTGAGATGCAGTTCGGTTCTTTGATTACGTTTACGTATCTCGGTGTTTCAGCATACGTGTGTATGTCTTGATAACCAACACATGAGCAGATCTCTGAATAGGGCGAACTGGGATAACTCGTGCGGAGAGTGGAGAACCACTACAGAGGAAATGCGGACAACAGCCCCACACAAGAGCATCTGAAACAACTCGCAGGTTTCACTGTCGTGGCAGGTCACATTCGAAGCACACAGAGAAAATTAAAACTATCTGTAAAAATGTCAAGAATTATAATATTCTGCTCTTTTAAAAGAGAGAAATGGTTTGCAAACAATTCTGTGAGACTTCTTTTAACGGGAATTTTTATGCCTAAGTGAAAACTGACAGATAATAGAAGAAAGTTAAGCATGAACCAGATATGTCAGCACGGGTTCAGACCATTTCTTTTTTTCCACTAGTGATTTTAAGTCCCTCAAGGTACACAAATAGTGTCCACTATGACTGTGACTGATGTGAACCCTCAGTCACTGCTCACAGAATCCTGCTGGTATCGCATTATCACTGGTGGCAACTGGACTTATTCAAACTCAAATATTACACAGCAAACAAAGTTTCAGTTAATTTTCCTCTAGCGAAGTATCAAAGGAAGCAATGCCCTTTGATTCAGCTACCTTACGCTTTAGGCTTTATACAAATTCAGCAGAACAGCACCTCAGAAACCTTGTACCAAATGCAAACAATCCACACCTTTGGAAAACAACTCCTTGTTAGAGGAGTAAACAAAAGCATACATTAGTCACTCACGCCGAAGATGGGCAACCAATGGCCTTTATGAAATGTAACCTCGCAGACTGACTAATAGCATGCAGGGTTCCCACACCGCTGTGTTGCTTAAATGGTCACAAAAAGCTGAGTATCGCACAACGCGCACATATGCACACTCATACAGGCTATCAGCAGCGGAGCAACGGGCTGCATGACGCACCCGACAAAGCTTTTCTTCATGAACAGCGACTGCTCTCTCTCAGCCACTGAATTTTGACCTTGAAAATCGCGTAGTTCACTGTTATGATTTCTAGCTTCATGGCCAGGAACTGAACGACAGGTTTGTTTTTATTAGCTTCTCAGCCACTTTGCCAGCTATTCATTTGAATCTTCTAAACAGTCATCTCTGAATCATAATGCAAATTCCATTTACTGAAAAGGTGGAACCTTTAATATAACAAATGAACATGTTTAATGACTGATACTTTTAGACATTACAGCATCTCTCATGTTTTCAGTAAATGGATATAATTTTCTCTGCATTACCCTATTATTATTCTTTGCTGGCATTATGAAGCTACATTCTCAGCTGCGGGTGTTTTCCACCAAGAGCATTTTGAAGAGAGCCCAAACAACAAGATTTAAAAGATGTATCCCTCTGCATCCTAAGCTAAAAATGCTTCAGGATACTGAGGGATTGGATGGGTATCTTATATGTAAAATGATTTTATTGCTTGCATCTTGGTTTCAGCGGGGCCATGTTCTTCCTTTACAACTGCAGACTGTACTTATATTAGGAGAACAGCTCCAAAAGCATTTCACTTCAAAAGCAAGGAAAAGCGACCACATATATTCAGGGTAACTTCCTCAGCCTAAAGCCTGACCCTCCTGCCATTTGAAAGGGCAGATTTGGAGAGGGAGAGTGGAAGTGCGTTGACTGTGCAGCTCTCCTGCAGCTCAGCCATGGCTGTGCGTGGGCTGTGTCTGCGGAGTCACACGGGCAAGCGCATCAGGAGAGGGCCAGGACACCCAACGGGCGCCCATGCGGCCGGGGGGCACAAGGGGAAACGATGAGGAAAGTCCCCAGCCCCAGGGTGTTCAGTCAGTTCTGAGAGACAGCAGCACATAAATTGTAACAACACAGGTGTAGTAAAAAAAGAACCTATTTAAGTGCAGTAGATGATAACTATCGTTTCGATTTGTGAGTGGTACAACACTGCATTGTCCTTAAGTAACAATGTTGTACTCGGAAAAACGAAATGTTATGTTCCGATTTTATTTGATGATATGAACTAAACAAAAGAAAAATACATAAGCAAACTTCATATGAAGTCACACGGAAGATGCGACACTTTTCATGTCTGACCTTAAAATGGAAAGGCAGCTGGAAAGGCTTTCTATAAGCCACAGTTGACCACCTTGTCTTCTGTAGGTTTGATCTAACAACTCTGACCTGTGCAAAGTGACTCCACTCGCCAGAGTAAGGACAGTCAAGTAAGAGAAGTGCTGAAAATAATATTGTAATAGAAAAGCAGATATGATTGCTTGGCCTTTCGGGTTTTAAGATGATGGGATTCAGCCAAGGACTGAAGTTACTATGGGTCCTGCCGTTGATTTTACAGGTTTTTGGGTCAAGGTAAGTAAGCAGTTCATCTGCACTGTACACGAGAGCTACTATTTGTGGCTTTCTGGCAACATTTGTGCATAGCTGCACTCTAGGTTTTGTCTCTTTTTTGTTGCTTACACTAATAAAGCCTTTTCACTTGTACTAATAATTAATAGTTATTAGAGATACAGAGAGACAGATATTAAGCTGATCTATTCTACTCTATTCTGTACAGCCTATAGTAGTACATTAAACAACATGCCTGTTGTTGTACATCTAGCTGAGAGAAAGAAGGTCAGAAAAAGTGCCCTGCACTTCCAGTGGGTTGTGATGAAGTCTGGAAGTTCCTAGACCTTCTGGAGATTGTTCGCAATTTTAGGTGGACTCATTTTGTTACAGAGATTGTTTTTTCAGGAGAGTGCCATTGCCCTGCAAGCCCTGAGATGGTCACGATTTGTTCTTTATACAAGCCGAGAACTCATATTTCAAATCGAATAGAAGAAGAAAATATATCACTTAAACTTAAATGTGCTGTTCTAAAGCTGCAGAGTGCAGCTTCTCTGACTTCTGGAGTCACAGTGAGGCTTATTGTCTTTGTGAATGCTTTTAAAATGAGATCCTACCATTTAAAAATTGAAGTAACACAGACAACAGGCTAGGAAAACAAAACAAACCAAACAAACAAAACAAACCCCCAAACAACAAAAAAGCACATAGCAGGCTCTCTACCTTTGGAATTGACAGATTTTTGAGCATTCTCTGCTGCAGAAAACTTGATATAGTCTGCGTTCAAATTCTGCATTACTAAAACTTTGCATTACCAGTAAATATGACAGGCTGTAGTTGTGAACAAACACCTACCTCTTCCACTTCTACCCACAAATCTGAGGTCATTGAACCTGGCGACTTGGTTTTTCATGGCAGCCGTTGCATTTCTGAGCTCTGCAGAGTAGTTTTCATCGTTCCCAGCCATTACTGTCACCAGCGTCCCGTCGGGCACATCTCCTAGGGCCACCACCTAAGAAATCAAAGAGCAGAATCCTCAGCTTCCTTACGTGACATTTATTTTCGGGATGCAGAACAGCAACAAGTGACACGATAAAATAAGAAAGAGCAGCAACAACAAAAACATGCATAGACTAAAAAGCTATTTAGTGAAAACAGGAAGCTTTTCCATTACCAGTCTGCAGAGCTAGGGACAAATTCTTACATTCATGTATATCTGGAATACAAAGTATAATGTGCACCTCGGCATGAAAAACACACGTAACGAGCTTTGTAATACATACTGTTGTAAGGGCCAATTAAAAAAACAAGTAAAATAAACTGATTCCACCCTCATTTTCATCAGTAACATTGCTTTTGACCTACATTGAAATCAGTACGATTTATTTGCATGAGAAAATAATGAGAAAACAAAAATAATTCGAATGTCTCATGGACACAGAGGGTTGCATTCCCTTCAGCTGCACTATTTTTCTATTTTTTTTTCATCCCACTGATCTCAAGGCAGCTGCCCAAGCATATATCTAGAATAAGCCCATGGAAAAGTAGGCCTTGACCCTATATTTAATCATGACCCACCATATTTCTTTTTTTCCTTTAGGAGCAAGAAAGGGAAACATCGACTTACGACCTCATGCCCGACCCGATGGATGGAAACTGCAATCTGAACCAATGAAACCTGCAATAGCTCAGTCAAAGGTTTTCACCTAAACACCTGAAGGTTTGCAGTGTAGGTCCTTAGTGCCTGTACCTACCAAACAAATATTCAGGAATACAGGATTTAGGAACATAGGTTTTTTTAACTTGATGTGTTGAGAAATATGTAGATCTCTAGCTTTAATTTTTTTGACTTGTATCTATCTGCAATGTTTGCTTAAAATAGTAAGAATTCAATTTTATCTTAACTTCTTGAGTAGGACTGAAGTCAGGTCTCAGAACAATTTTGCCCTGCTGTAACTGAACGCTGCATTTGGTGCTGCTCTTGATTTACTCTGGCAAAACTAGAGCTTGAACTTGGTCCTTCGTCACGCTTTTTTAGATCCTGTTTTTGCTAAGATGTCCTCTCCAAATTAAGCCTGCAGCAGTGTCCTTTACACTACTACTACAAAAAAAGACTTAAAAAATCTTGTTTTTATTTCCTCTTTTACGTATTTTAAGAGGAAGTAGTCCTGCATCATTTCATCTGAGCTACAGCTTGATATTTTTCCTTCCTCTTAGCATTTTCTAGTTTATGCTCATATAGTTATAATTGGCTTAGACTTACCACAGCCTCAGTCTCATTTCTATTAGTTTCTAATCACGCTGTTCTTTCCAAACAAGAACAGCAGCTCCTTTGCTTAATCTGTTTCTGATGCTTATTTCCAGTCATAACTATTGCGCTGTGTCACAGAGGTCTCCATCTCAAGCATTTCGTAGTTGCTCCTTCAGTTCTCACTTCAGTGCTCTCCCATTTGTCACTTCTAACCCCTATTTTCACTTCCACATACAAACTTAAAATCACTGTGTCAAAATTCCCTCTTTACGAATATATCTCAACTTCCTCTTCCCATTCCAGTGGCCCATGCTTTGGGTTTTTTGTTGTTGTTGTTGTTGTTGTTGTTGTTAGTGTACCCCCTCTCTTATATGTGCCATAATGTGTTTCTGTGGTGGCCTGTTCTATACCCAGCCTTGTGCTTTTCGAATTTCCCTGATCTGGACATAAAACAGCCCTTGCTCCAAACGTTTCAGCTACCAAGTTCTCTCCCGCCCGCATGTTGTGAAGGGAAGCACAGTGTCCCGCCAGATGAGCCACTGCGACCCCGATGCACTTACCCAGCTCTTTAAAAGCTACCAGAAAACCTTAAACCAAGCACATTTTTTAAAGGGGAGGGGGGAAAATCTGGGCATTGCCCCGACCCCACCAGGATTCAAATGCTTGTATGTTGGCTTAAGGAAACATACGCTAGTCTTTCATGGGATGAAAAACCCTCATGAATTCAGGGTCAGCTGTCCCTTTTTGGACAAGTATTATTTAAAACAATCGCTTTTAATTTGCACTGCAGGCAACCGCAGTGATAAGAAACATGAAGAAAATATTAGAAACAAGTATGAAAAAACTGCGCAGTACAGAAAAGAAACTAGAGTTAAAAGTCACAAACAACAGAAACAGAAATACAAATATTTACATTAGAGAAAAGACTAAACAGATAAGTTGAGACTTGCTGACTGAAGATATCTAGCACTTCGCTTTACTGTTTACCTCTTAAAAATACATCTCCAGAGAAGCGGGAAGAATATCAGAGTTGTAATGCTGCTGGGTATCTAAATTACCTGCTTCTGGGGCATCACTCAAACAAAAATGGACTTTTAAATCAAGATTCAGATTATTTCCTAACAGCGTTTGGATAATGAATATAGATGGCACCTTAATAGAGCTACCATGCATTTTTCTCTGTTTATCATAATAATTCATTATTTTAGAAAAAGAAAGTAATGAATGAAAATTGTGCTTTTGGTTTGAAATACTATTCCGATCCTTTGGATTAAGTAAAAAGGAATATTTTTATACGGAAACATGAAAAGCAAACTATCTCCTTCTCATCGGTGCAATTGATGGCAGAAAATACTTAATAAAAATCAGCTTTTTCTTTTCTTGGTCAGATGAGAATAAGACACTGGCAAGAATTTGCACCGAATTTTCTTGTTTGTGTAAGTTCTAAATTGTATGGAGAATTATACGGAGAACTGCGACTTTAACGGGCTCTTGGTAAATACCCCGTGTTTAGTGAGAAACGAATGGAATCATTTCGCAGGTGGCAAAACACCGCGGGCCTTTGTAGGTGGCAAAACACCATTTCGCAGTAGCCCACAGTGCTTGTAGGGAAGCAGGTGCCTCCTCACCTACTAGTCCAGAATAAATAAGTAAATAAATAAAAGAAGGAGAACTGCGACTTTAACGGGCTCTTGGTAAATACCCCGTGTTTAGTGAGAAACGAATGGAATCATTTCGCAGGTGGCAAAACACCGCGGGCCTTTGTAGGTGGCAAAACACCATTTCGCAGTAGCCCACAGTGCTTGTAGGGAAGCAGGTGCCTCCTCACCTACTAGTCCAGAATAAATAAGTAAATAAATAAAAGAAGGGGGAGAAAAGGCAAAAAAAAAAAATTAAAAAGACGTTTTCCTGCAATTTCGCAAGGAAATATCACCCGGTGTCTGGGGGGGTGGTTCTCTCTTGGGTGTTCAGGTGCATCAGCGGAACAACCGCTGCCTCGGCCGCGTTTGGACCGGGGCGGGCGGGAGCCCCTCACCGCGGGCTCCTGGCGGCGCCCGGAGGGGACCAGGGCGGCCGGGGGGACCCAGGCGGCC